TTTTAGGAGAAATAATTGTCTTTTTCACCAATTCAAACCTATCATTTTAACATATAAAATGGTTTGAATCAGTTATACATTAAAACTTTTAATTTGTGAAATTACAAAAAATGTGTGATCTTCTTTTATCTAATCATTCTCAATTGGCTAGAATGTTCTATAATTAAATAGATTTGCTCTTTGTCTAAACTTCTTTCCGTATGCGTTAGCTATGGGTATTCTGTTCAGCATCAACATGTTTAGAGAACAATATTTCAATTTTTGCTTTCGGTGCAGCAAAGAACTGTTTTTCTACTAATGATTCTACACTATATGAATTATTCTCCTGTTCTTTCTATCAGATTATTTCTTCGATACAAAATGTTCTTAATATAAGTCTAACGAGTAATTTATTCTTACAACTGCCCTCTCAAATTAATTATGTAATCAACAAGTATTTAGTCAATTGAGAGAGCATATTAAACAAATAAGTCTTAGATTAATTCTCATAATCAATGAAGTAGTTTTGTTAATGAAAATGTTTATAAATAAGATAGCCAAAAATTCAAAGATTATCTAATTTATTATGAAGTCAGATTTATTTATTTTAATAACATGAAATCCAAATTATGGTTATGAAATTATTTAGGAGTAAATTAATCTCATTACTTAGAAAATATTAATATTTATAAAAGGTTTAAATTAAAGCAATTAAATCAAAAAAGATCTTGAATAATCAATAAATATAATTATTTGAGATTTAAATTAAGTTTAATAATTTATTTGTAATAAAATGCTTAATTCAATTATTTGTTTCTAAATACTCTACCTTAAGGTTTAATTTTTTTTAGGCTTATAATTATAACATCATTGGGTTGTCTAATTCATTTCTGTCATTAAACCTATAGATCAATGTTAACCCTGAGTTTGTGCATTATGCTTCCTAAATATCATTCTCCATTTCTTTTCATGTGATGTTTATCTTTCGAATGAGTATTCTATAACTATTATAAAGCTTTTGTCACTCATTCCCTTTCATTAAAACTCTCTTATTTATCATATTTTTGTATCTATTAGAGTTCAATTTATCTTTCTTTAATATGATACTGCTCCCTTTTAATTCATCATTACCTTCATATATATATTTAAGGTCTTTCTTTCTTTCTATCATTTCTATTTTTATTTCTATAACTCTAAATTAGATCAGAATCACTTTTATATCCTTCGTTCTTTATTATTCAATATTTTCTTCAATTCTACTAATATAATTCTATTTATGAAGCTCTACCAGACATTACTTTCTCCTCAATATAGGATCTATCTTTAAAGCATGACTTCTTTGTAAATGATATGTATGCGAATTTCTATTTTGTTTTATGTTGCTCTCTCTGAATTTTTTTATCAAGTTTTATCCTAAAATGTTCTCATTCCTATATATCCTCCCAAATTTTCTTCATCATAGTCTCAATTTGAGAAAGCATTAATTTCAAATCCATTCTCTCTTTTTGGTAAAATCAGATATCTCATAAGGCTGAGATTCTTTTTATTTCTTAATCAACATTTCTTGAAATATTTTAAGCGGAACTGTTTGTTCATTAATTAGGAGTATTTTAACAACCTTTTCCAACAGTTTTATCTTAATTTAAAGTTGATATGCATATTAGTTTCTTCTCCAAATTTAAACACTCATTTTCAGTAGTTGCAGTTTTATTATCAACACATTCTAAATTTTTGCATTTCTTTTTACTATTATTCCTGAAGGTTATTAATAATAATGATTATTGCATTCAATATTGTTTTTATATAAATAGCAATGTTTTTGTATTCAACGCATTCTTTTTTGATATTAGCGATTGTGCATTTTGAGTTAAAGGATTCACAATTTTCATGAGCTATATCACTTATTCTTCTATCTAAAAAGTAAATGATGGGTCATCATCTTTGCATTACTCATTATTATTATCCCAATAACAGGATTCTCCTAAGATACTTGATTTACAAACTTACTCATCAAGATATAAAGAGGAGTTGTCCTTTTTCTTTTAGCATCCCTCAGAATTGAAATTATATACTATGGCAAAATTTGGATTCCAAGCAAAATATTCTTAATGATTATTAAACATGTTGGAGTTTGATGAGTTGCATTTCTTTATACTCTATTTGTTTTTCACATTTTCTTTATAGATGAAATTATTCATTCACTATTAACATTCAATATTATTTTTATATAAATTAATTGTTCAACCTAATACATTCTTATCCTTACAAATTTTTATCACAACTTTATTCACTTACCCATTTCCACTAAAATCCTAAACCGGAATCAAATTTTCAGTGATAATGTATTTATTTCTATTTTGTCTAAATATTCTAAATATTAATTTAATAATAATCTA